ACGGATTGTTTTCGTAAACATTGTATTCCAGCAGATGGTATCGAACGATCGATTTTAGTTGTTAATCGTCAAATGCCTGGACCAGCTATCGAGGTATATATTTAATATATATATATATATATGTATATGTATATATATGTATATGTATATATATGTATAACGGGAAAAATGTATCGATCGAAAATAATATTGTCTATATCGCGATAAAAATTTATCCACATGTTGAAAATTAGAAATTGAAGCTAATTTAAGAAGTAAATATAGACAATTTTGTATCTTCGAATTTTTGCATATGAAAAAATTATTTCACGTGTTATTTATTTATTTATTCTTTCTATTTTATACATAAAATTTAATATTATTAAAAATTGATAAGTAAATTTGAATATTCGTAATGATATATATAATTAAAAATATGCTATTTCATTATTAGGTCGTTTTATCTAAAATGTATAAATACATTTTTTTTTCTTTCTTTTTTCTCTTCTTTTTTTTTCGAATTTTGCATAATTATTGAATATAATAATATAAAAAAAACTGCAATTATATTAAAAATTATATTAAAAATATTTATGTATACGGTTGTACTCAATTGATCATAATTACATATCAATATTTTGCAACCGTTTAAAAATATTATTTGTATATTAATTTATTATTTTTTTTCGTACTTTTTAAGCATCATCATTTGTAATGACGCGTTACATAAAATTCCGATTTCCGCGATATTTCACGATTATTCATAACTAAACTGGAATCTATCCTGAAATCTATTTGTCGACGAATAAATTATACTCGATTATAGGTGTGTCAAGGTGACAGGATAACGGTTGATGTAATAAATTTATTGCACTCTGAGAGCACGACGATGCATTGGCATGGCCAACATCATGTTAAAACTCCGTACATGGACGGTGTACCTTACGTATCTCAATGCCCAATTTTGCCGGGTTCAACTTTCCGTTATGATTTCATTGCCACGGAGGCGGGCACACATTTTTGGCATTCTCATTCAGGTAGAAAAGAAGGAAATTTCTCTATAATTATTCAACAATCTAATGATGCGACACGTATGATCTTCAATCGAGTCCGTAATCCATTCTTAGGCTTTCAACGGGGTGATGGAGTGTTCGGTCCGTTAATTGTACGCACACCTCCAAAAGTGAATTGGCATAATGATTTGTACGATATCGATAAATATATTATCCAGATCTCGGATTGGACTCATGAATTAGGAATCGATAAATTCTTAAATCATCATCACGCAGGCGGAGATAATAAACCGCCTAATATATTGATTAATGGTTTAGGTCGTTTTACAGTTAATCGAATCGAAAACAATATATCCGCTATAATGCCGACCGCGATCTTTACGGTTAAACAGGTAATATTAAACAAACAGATGAAAAATATATATATATATAAAATAAAAATTTTTATTTAGAAAATGATATTATATCATTCCTTTTTTTATATTTTTACAGAATGTCAGATATAGATTTAGACTCATTAACGCCGAATTTCTCAATTGCCCAATAGAATTATCGATCGATAATCATACTATGCGTGTAATTAGCTCGGACGGACGTGATATCGAAGCTATCGAGGGTAAGTATCGCTAGATAAAGACGAGGAAAAATTATTAGGAAGGAGTAAAAATTTTGTTTATAATTATAGCGGAATCATTGGTAAGTTACGCTGGCGAAAGATTCGATTTCGTTGTTGAGGCGAATCAAAATGTAGATAACTTTTGGATACGATTCCGCGGATTAATGGATTGTGACGAAAGATTTACTAAAGCATATCAAGTTGCTATACTACGATATGAAGGTGCGACCAACAAAGATCCGAATGAATTAGTCGGATACAAATATAAATCGAATTATTCGATAGATGGTCAGGTATTATAATCTCAAATTTTGTTGATTCGTTAGATTATAGAGTATAATAGAAGTACATCATATATATTATATATTTTCCATTTCAGCGTATAAACGCTTTAAACGAAGGTACAGAAACCAATAATAGTATCAGCATACCTTTATTAAAAGCCATGGATAAAAATGATAAATCAAATATCGCGCATCCTGATTACCAATTTTATGTATCCTATGATTTTTACAAGAAAGATAATCCACATTTCCATCGCGGAAAACTTTATGGATTTAATCAAGGTAATGGATACTGTCTACATTATATATACATATGTATTATATATACATATTATTATTTCTTTTATGCTATTCGATGTATATATCTAATCATTTTCAGTAAAGAATACAAAACGAGTACTTACTCCCCAGTTAAATCATATTTCGATGAAATTGCCACCGATGCCTTTGTTATCTCAAAGGGATTTCATCGATTCGGATCAATTTTGTAATTCAAGTACTGTACAAGGTTGTATCCAAGATTATTGTGCTTGCACTCATGTGCTTCAAGTAAATCTTGATAGCGTAGTAGAAATAATTTTGGTGGATGAAGGTTTGTCGATTATTTTATATTTTTATATTATATGCGCATGTAACGTGGTTTTTAAATCGAAATTAACCTATATTATTCGATTTCTAATCGAATACTTTTATTCCTTAGGTTTCGCTTACGATGCAAATCACCCATTTCACCTTCATGGTTATCAATTTCGCGTGATCGCAATGGAAAGAGTCGGTGAAAATGTCACTGTTGACAAAGTAAAAGCATTGGATAAAGAAGGGGCGATACGACGAAATCTTGATCATGCTCCGTTAAAAGACACGGTAACGGTACCGGACGGTGGTTATACCGTTGTACGATTTCATGCCAATAATCCAGGTATATATGAAATGTCTTCTATTTGTTTGATATTTGTTTGCATTTTTTCTTCTTTTTCTCTTTTATTTAAAATTTGTCTTTAAAAGGTGAAACACCTAAGAATTTTATCTTTTTCACTTTTATATTCTCTCAGGCTACTGGTTGTTTCATTGTCACATTGAATTTCATGCAGAAGTTGGAATGTCATTAATCTTTAAAGTTGGTGAACATAAAGATATGTTACCAGTACCACGTAATTTTCCTTTGTGCGGTAATTGGCAACCTGAAGATGTACAACTCAAATCAAGTTCTTTGAATATTTTATCAAACACTGTGAAAAAATCTATAATAGAAACTTCAAACGTTACAATAGATGAAATTACTGAAAATAGTATAAAACGATTCATAAAAGTGTTGCCAGAAGTATTAAAAACATTGCAAATATCATCTTCGGCTATTTCAGTTATTCCGTATTCTCTATTTTCTTTTTATTCTTTTATAGCTATAATTTACACATTTATATAGAAAAAGAAATAGTTCGTAAAAATTTATTAATCTTTTTGTTACAACTAGTAATAAATGACATTCTGTTTTACATAAGATGTTTAACATCTTTTGATTATTTTAAATTAATTACGAAATAATTGCAAAGAACATTTTTATATATAATACAAACGTTTCTGATGTCTGATTTTTATTAAAAATGGTAAAATATCGCATAAAAACTAGTTATCAAAAAAAAATGTTCTTCTAAAAGTTATTTAATGAAATTTTTTTATTGCAAATCGTCAAATTTGTTTTGATAAACGCTATCATATAATTGTATAGCATTTCATTAAATTTTATTTTGAAATTCCTTCTTACTTTCTAGCTTTCTATTTTCATTCAATTATTCAATATTCTACTTACAAAGATATTATTTATATATATAAATATTATAAAAATATTTTTCTTATATCTTCAGTTTCTTATGCGATATCATATATTTTAAAACGAGTAACCTATATATATATATATATATCGATATTAATTGAAATTAATTGAAATACATTAGATTTTATTATTTAGCATTTTTCACGTCAAAGAAGAAATATTATTATTAATCGATATCGACTGTTTATAGAAAAAAAAAATATTACATTGAAGAAATGTATATAAGTAAATAAATAAGTACATTTGTTCATTTTCTGATTTAATATTCATATAACGAAATGAGTCATTGGATAGATGAATTAAATCGTGTCAGAGTCAATTGTTAAATAAAATAAATATATATATCATATTTAATTAATAAGAATTCGTGTTATAAGTATTAATTATTACTTATTATGATAATGAAAATTTTTTTAAAGCTATTCATACATTGTAAATTCAATTTAGTTTTAATTTTTTAATTCAAATGTAATATAATTATTTCCTTTCGTCTCTACTTCCTCTAATAATATTACTTTATGTAGATAATTAATATTTCAAAACTTTAAATATATTATTTATTTTTCCAAGATATTTAATATAGTTTTACTGATAACAATAACTGATAACAAATTTCGTTAAATGAATATTACTGCCGATTATATAAATAGTTTTATTTAATTCTACAAGTATTTTTATACTGTGATATAAATATTATAAGTATATTGGTTAAAGATTGAATATTAATTATGTAAAAAAATTATAAGCTTTATGATATTTACTAAGTTAATTTTTACTTTTACAAATAATATATTATTATATGTATAATAATAATTTGTAATATATAATACTTTATTATTAATGTATATATAATAATACTTTGTAATTAAATATGTGTCAGTGAATGATTGATCAATATTCCTTCATTATGTTACATTATTTTGTAAATGATCATGTATTTATACAAAAAAAAATTTTATTTTATATATTTTTTCAATAAAATTTTGTATATAAAAATTTTTTTAACACATTCTTATTATAACTAAATATTATATTATACTAAATATTATATTATTTAATATTCTTTTTAAATTTTTTCATTATAGTAAAGAAAAAAAAATTATATAAAATAATAAATGAATTAAATAAAAATTAATTGTGTATGTAACAAAATGTAACAAAATATTAGAAAAAATGAAAAAAACACTTTAAGCTTCAAAGCTTAAGTTGATCTGTATTAAATTGATCTTATATTGCAAATAGCATTTAAATATAAAAATATAAAAAAGACTATTTTTATATTTTCTATTTTATTTATTCATTTATTTTTTATTTATTGCTTGCATTGTCAATGATTATATTATATGTAAACTTATTAATATCTACTTTTACAGCTTTCAAAGATTATATAGTTAAACATTATTACAAGTTTCTTGAGAAGCAGGTGAACAAATTGTATAACATACATCTTTTTGTGGTGGCCTTTGTAAAGGATGTGCCAATAATTTAGCCATACTATCATGTAATTTTGCTGCATTTCTTCCTACTTCTAATATATATGAAAAATTTGTTGTATCCAATGTTGCTATTTCAGAATAAATTTCTTCGCATAAATTTTCGGAACAAGGTGGCTCATGTACATATAATACATCTATGAAAAAATATGGATTTTTTATAAGAGTATCTAAAGATCTTTTACCAATATGAAATTTTGGGATACTGTTGGAACGTGAATACACTAAAATTACTCTGATAACAAATGTTGGTACAGTAGTCTCATGTTTCTTTGTTAATAGAAGTAATTTTTGTTGTATTTCATCAAATAATTGTCCAAGGTCATATGACTTTTGATCTTCCTCTAGAAAATCATCATTAATAAGATTTAAATGGTTAACAATACTATTGGTATTACTGGTAAAATCACATATCCACCTAGAGCTGTGAGAGTTCAAAATCATTAATGCATATTCATGACTATGTTGAATGATAGATTTAATGTAAATAAAATTTTCTATAGTTCGTTTTATCATAAATAAAGGAGTATAGCTAGCTCCTGTAGAAAGTTTAAAGGGAGTACAATTTTTCTCTTTTGCTGTATCAATTACAAATAAAATCTTCTCGGGTAAATTCATTCCCGAAAAATTTCGCATCAATGTATTATCTTCATCAAAATATGACTTGAAATCAGGAACAAAACACGAGGCGTTATCAGTATTACTCATTTCCTATTGGATGTAGGTTAGCATTTCAGAAAATTTTTAACAGTTCAATATCTTTCACAATTATTTTTTTATGTATTATTTACCTAGAATATTCACGTGATTCACGTGCGATATGCGTCTGATTCGTATAATGCAGTACTTAAATTCAATTGAGTTTATAGCTTTCCATATTAAATCATGCTATATTGATATTGTGAATGATCGATTTCATTAATTTTCTTGATTCGAAAAAATTCACTGATTGATGGACTATATATGAAATCAAAATCGCAATTTTGAATTTTACAAAAATCGTCGTCTAAACATTTCCACATACGATTGGTATCTTTTATGCATGAATCATGATTTAAGAATAAGTTATCATTTACCACTATACTATCATTTTAAAAATCTTTTATATTTTTTTTTTTTTGTTTAATTATCCTATTAACTAGAATTAATTTAAATTTATTCGAATTTACAATATCCGATAGATTGACATTCATGAACTTAAAAGCTAATGTATACGATCGAGCTTAGTGAAAAAAAAATAAATATGTTTTCAAGTAATCGTTTTATAATTACAATATTAAAAATCATTTCGTTGCTATGAAAAGATGAATCTTGTAATAACATTAAATTTGGTGTTATGAAATAAAATATAACATTATCAATATCATAACAATAAAAATTATTACTTTTATTCTTATGCGTGAAAACAAACCTTAAGGACAACATATATATTATTTTTCTCACTGGATGAATTGTTAATGGAATCATTATAGTGATTAAACTTATAACCTATAAAATATTTCGTATATGTGTAACTTTTAACTTATAGATTCTTAAAGTTTTTAAAAATTATCAATTTTGAAATATATTTTTCATCAGAAAATGTAAAAATATCTTAAGTTTTAGTAAGAAAAAAAAAATTTAAATAAACTATGCTTGCGTTACAAGATTACGGTAGTAGTGATAGCGAATCTGAAAATGAAAATGAAAATAGAGAGAGTGAGGTTAACTGTATGATTGATTCTACCAATGTTGTTAATTCTATTTTCGCAAAAAATTTAACTGCATCTATAAATATGCAAATTTGTTCTGCACCAGAAGTGATACCAACGGTAAATATTTATTTATTATATTAAATTTTTCTTTATCAAGATTAGAAATTATTTTTTTAAATGTGCTATAGGGGACTGAATTATGTATAAATCAAATAGATTCAACTATAAAAGAAGTAATGCATAATCCCAAATATGAAGAACTTTTTGCTCCAGATGTTGGTCCAGAAAATCCTTTTAAAACACAACAACAACGTGCTGTAAAAAATATACTTTCTGGATATGTTGAGAAAGCTCATATAAGCGAGTTTCAATTTGAAAATCAAAGAAGAACGTTTGCCAGTTATGGTATAAAATATAATAATAATATATAATAAATGTTAAAAGAAGTTATAATGATATATGATTTTATAAATATTATGTTAGGATATGCATTAGATCCAACTGTAGATGGTAGTGCAGAAGAAGGTAAAACTATTATTGGAGCAAAAGATGCTGCTGAAGAATCTGGTGGTAAAACTGTATTTGAAAGTACAACATTAAGGGCTTCTGATAAAAGAAAACGTCATAGAAATGATGATCCTGCAGATATTGAAGGATTCTTGGGTCCTTGGGGTGGATATATAGATGAAAAACGAATTATTAAACCAACCGAAGAAGAAGCTGCAGAATTAGAGGAAATATTAGCAAAACGAAACAGGAGAGGCAAACCAGCAGAGGAAAAACCACTTGAGGAAAAAACAGTATTACATAGTAATATCATAATAATTAAATATATAATTTATATAAAAGATTTTGAAATAATCAAATTTGTTTTAGTTAAAGACAGTGTGGATTATCAAGGTAGATCATTTTTACATGCTCCTCAAGATGTTGGAGTAAATTTACGATCAGAATCACCACCAGATAGATGTTTTTTACCAAAAGCGCAAATTCATACTTGGGAGGGACATACCAAAGGTATTTCACAAATCAGATGGTTCCCTCGTACTGCGCATTTATTACTTTCTTGTAGTATGGATTGTAGAGTGAAGGTATTTATATTTTAATCTTGAAACATGAAAAATAATGACATGATTTAATTTCATTTATATTATTAAATATAGCTATGGGAAGTTTATAAGGATAGGAGATGTATCCGAACCTATTACGGACATCGCCAAGCTGTAAGAGACATAAGTTTTGATAATGATGGAAAAAAATTTTTGTCTGCTGGATACGATCGTTATGTAAAATTATGGGATACGGAAACGGGTGCTTGTATAAGTCGATTTACAAGTAGAAAAATTCCGTATTGTGTTAAATTTAATCCTGATCCAGACAAACAGCATTTATTTGTAGCAGGTACCAGCGACAAAAAAATTATCTGCGTGAGTCATATATACACACGTATTTTTAATTTTAGGATATATTATAGGATATATTATAAATTTCAATTTTATCAGATAATATAATAATATATTATATTATTATACAGTGGGATATTCGTTCTGGTGAAATAACACAAGAGTATGACAGACATTTGGGAGCTGTGAATACGATAACGTTTGTAGACGAAAATCGAAGATTTGTAACAACTTCAGATGATAAAAGTTTGAGAGTTTGGGAATGGGATATACCAGTCGATATGAAATACATAGCTGATCCTTCTATGCATTCTATGCCAGCAGTTACACCATCACCAAATCAAAAATGGCTTGCATGTCAAAGTATGGATAATAAAATTGTTATATTTTCGGCCTTAAACAGATTTAAAATGAATCGTAAAAAAACATTTACGGGTCATATGGTTGCTGGTTATGCATGTGGTTTGGATTTTTCTCCAGATATGAGGTAAAATATTTTTTCATTTATAAAATTATAAAATTATAAAATTCTTTATATTCAACATAATTTAATATTTTTACTTTTATTTTCTTAAGTTATCTTGTTTCGGGAGATGCAGATGGTAAATGTTATATTTGGGATTGGAAAACAACAAAATTATATAAGAAATGGAAAGCACATGATGGTGTATGTATTGACGTATTATGGCATCCTCATGAACCTTCAAGACTAGCTACAGCTGGTTGGGATGGAAAAATAAAATATTGGGATTAATCATAAATAATCACATTGTAAAATTATTTATTTTGTATGTATATTTTATATGATGTGTATAAATAGATTTACTTTATATATATATTTCTAACCATATGTTATTAATAAAAATATAATATTAATAATTATAAAAACATATATAAACTTTTTAAAAATATTAAAAAATGTTTCATTATTATACAGAAATTATACATTACATATTTATATATATTTTTTATTATAATTATACATTACATTATTATATTTATAATATATATATTTTACATTATATTTTCAATAATATATAGAAATGAATGCTTGCATAAGTCGATTACAAATCGAAATTATTTTAAAATTATTGATCGTTATTTTTATAATTATACCAATCAATAATTATTTTAAATAATTTTCATTATAATTTCATTATATTTATAATTAAACACAATTGATATAAAATTAAGAAATTAATTTAATTAACAATTATTTTCTCTTATTAGTTAAAAATAGTTATCACAAACCAGATTGAAATAAATATGCGATTTTGAATAAATTGTTATATTATTAATAATTCGATTATAGTGAACTCGAACTGATTGATTCATACAATAATTCGCATGCAATTAAATAAATGAATTGTTATGGATATAATTACAATATTGAACATGAATTATTCGTATAAATTCTAATTGCAGTCTTAAATGGCGAATTACAAACTGTGTACCATACTATCGTAAAAATCAATAATATACATCATGATGTCTGCTGCATTTGTTTCATACGTCGTTAAGAATTTGTTTTTTGTCATCATCGAATTAAATCTTGTTACAATTTTAATCGTTAAATTGACGAACGCTTAACAATATATGCTCTGCTTAAAATTGTTAAAATTTAATATGATATATCGATTAACACAAATATCTTGAAATTATACAAAAATCTACAAAGACTAAATAGAAAGGTAATAATACCTTAGTTACATAAATATTTTTTTTTCATATGATTTGAATGCGAATAAATATGTAAAATTATACAATCATAAGTATATTTTTAATATTTTCATTGAAAATGTGATTTGTTTATAGTGTAAAATTATTTTGTTTTTTTTAGAAAACTAAAGATAATCAGATCAATACAATAGAATTATTTTTCGCGTTTCTACTATAAATATTTAAAAAAGAAACATAAAAACTTTTATTTTCCATTTATTAATTACAAAAATATACAATATATGTTTAAAGTATAATTATAAAATATATATAATATATATAATATATATATTTATATGTGCAATATATGTGATAGATTCAATATAAAAATGGATGGATCTGGATTGGGATATTCATATCATCTTCCTTCTGCAGGATGGAATTTTCGAGTTAGAAATGTACTTGCACAATTCAGTGATCTTTTTAGTGAATTTAATAAGTATATTGCTCCTGCTTATCATCATGATCGATGTGAGAGGTACTTGATTCCATTTATACAAAATATTATATATATATTTTTATATATTTAAATAATAATATTCTTTTTTAGATCAGTTCAAATGCGATTATATTCCATGCATAAAAGAGAATTTGTTATGGTATTCATTGCTTTTTTTGCATGTTTTGGATTAGCTGTATTTATTGGACTTGCAGGTATTTTTATAAAATATTTCTTTTTCATTATATATATTATTTTTTCTTTTTATTGTATATTATTATAGGTCCTCCTATTACTTCTATGAGTGAACAGAAAGCTCATGTAAATAATAGCGAAGTTGCTACTGGTCCTTTTATTATGAAAACACCTTTATTATCTACATATAGTCAACAATTATGGGTTATTGCAAAATTATTAACATCTAATAATGATGGTAATATAAATATAAAAGAATTAAAAAATTAATAAATTTACAATTACATTTCAAATTTTACAGATGAAAGATATGACAAAAGTTTTCAAATAAGCATTTCAATAGATGGTATTATTGATCATAAACTTATACCTGTTCTTTCTTCGGAAACTGGTCACAATAGGTATTTTTTATGATCTACAAATATAGTATAACTTATTCATTATTTCATATATATAATGTAAAATTATTATTAACATGCTTTCTTTTTCAAAGAACCAGACACTTAAAATGTGAAAGACAAACATGTGAAGAACTGGTAGTTGCTCATCTTGGATTTCTTGATTACAGTTATTATATTATTACTGTTCGTTTTCATGGACTTGAAAGCTTCCATCAACGTTATAACATATGCGATCTCACATTCTACGTCAGTAAGCACTATATAAAAATAATATGATTGTATTATAAAAATTTCTAAAATCAAAACAATTGCATTTGATAATGTTTTTACTTGTTTATAGTTTAAAAATTATAATCCAGCATTTACGGAGTTCGAGATTTGGTTTCGATTTATCTTTTTGTTAACTGCATTTGGAGTTATGGTAAAGAATAATGAAGAATATTGTATACTTTTACACATTATTTAAAAAAAAATTATATATCAATTTTTATATTATATATCAATTTTTAGTGCTGGTTTGGACATTCCTTACGAAAATATCCATTACATGATTGGTCAATAGAACAAAAATGGATTTCTATACTTCTTCCCTTATTAATTTTATATAATAGTAAGGCATTAAAAATTAATTTATGTTTTTATATATACATTTAACTAATTTATTTTATTTTTATTTAAAATTTATTTTACTTTTATAGATCCATTATTTCCAATGACATTTTTAGTCAATTCTTGGGTACCTGGTATGATAGATGCAATTCTACAAACAACATTCCTTTGTGCAATTCTCATGTTTTGGTTATGTGTTTATCATGGTTTAAGACAAGTATATGTGATATTTATTTAATTAATATAATATAGCATAATTTAAATCATAATATTATTTATATCTACAAATCTTATATTTTAATAGAACGAAAGACGTCTTATCACATTCTATTTACCAAAAGTTTTGGTAGTGGGTTTACTATGGTGTTCTGCATTTATTTTAGCAACATGGTTGCGTTGCACAGAATTAGAAGATCCTACTTATAATTATGTTCTTGATACATCAAATTATTTTGTAAGTTATCTATAATTGATAATTATAAGTTTATCACACAATATTTTTAATTAATACTTATAATTTTATAAATTTATATGAATTTATAGGGTTTCAAAGTATTTTTCTTCACAGTAGGAGGATTTTATATAGCATATCTTCTTCTCTTGATATTAAGAGCATACAGCGAATTAAGATCCATGCCATATTTTGGTATGTTTATAAATGCATTTGTTATTATTATTTAAATTATAATTATAAAATATATTTGTAATTATTATAAATAATTGTAATTATTATAAATATAATTGTAATTATTATTTAATATCTCTTAAAAAATATCTTTTTCGATATATTATCTTTTTTCTTTTTTTTTGTTTCTATATTTTTTTCTTTTTCTTTTATTGTTTCTTCTAGATCTTCGTTTACGTTTTTTGACATTGCTTGCTGCTGTGGTTTCATTGGTATGTGGTTGCGTAACAGCGCGACAATTTGGAGCTGGTATATTTGAAGATAGCTTTGCCTCTCGTCTCACAACGTATTATCGTTCATCCGCACAATTTATGGCTTTGTATGGTCTTTTGAATTTTTATCTTTATACGATGGCTTATGTATATGCACCAGCATATCAACAAGTATATGGCCAACGTAAGTATTTTTGATTTTAATATACAAAATCTTTCATATAAAATTAATGTATTATTTTTTTGATTGATTTTTTTATAATTAGATTCTTCTATAACTAAGGACAACCCTACGTTTTCTATGATTAACGATTCCGATGAAGAAGTTATATATGGACCAGATGAAGATAGTCGACGGCCTTTAACTCAAACATCTAGAATTGCGAATAATAATAATTAATTAAATTAAATTGAATATTGTGAATAAGAAAAAAACATTTTTAATTAAAGGAAAGGACATGTTAATGTCAAAGATTTTCGTAAATAGTGATGTTATAAAATAAAATATATAAAGGTGAATAATTTATTTTAAACAGGAGTCATAAATAGAGATATAATGTAAAATAAAATATATATAGGTGAATAATTGATTCTAAACAAAACTTAATAAAATATAATTCGTTATTTGCAAAAATTTATGTAAATGTGATATACATATTATTTCCTCTTAAAACAACAAAATTTCTTTTATATACTTACTTTTTTATTTATTAAACATAAAATATTTTATATTTCATTCTAATTTCTAAATGATTATTAATGTTCTTTTTTTTGCAAATTAGAACCTTTTATATTCGAAAAAATTTGAAAAGTATAAATATTTTATGAAAAGAATTATTAACAATGTAATAATTTATTTTAAAAAAAATTATTTAAAAAAATTTTAATCTTTTACTAATCTTTTAAAAATATTATATAAATTTATTTAAATTTTTTAAAATATTTTTAGTTATTAAAAAGCATATTGAATATAAAAAACT